GATTGAAGACCAGAAAATGGTACCGCTTGGCTATGATTTAAGGCTCATGGAAATGCAAAGTAGGTGTTGAACATAAAACTTCTCATTAACATCTATTGCTTGGCACCATCTGTTGAAGTATAGAATAAAAATGCTCTTGACACCCAAACATTAAGACTGGGGCTCCTGACTTTGTGGTTAAGCATCTAAGACCTGACTTGAGCTTCAAAGTAAAAGAAGCAAATATTTTACTATACAAATTGACATCTTCTATTCTATAGTCCTTTAGATTACCAGTTTTCTGAACTTGCTGCTGTCACCATGAATTATTGCAATTGTAGGATTAGAAGGAAGGAGCAACATTTTCAAATCATTTGAGATACTAAGGAAGAACAAAGCCAAACTGGGCATTGCCCAAGTAAGTGGAGGCCATTATTCGTTGATTTAATCAATCAATATTCAATAAGTCCCTGCCATGTCACAGACACTGTTGAGTATTCTGGTGGTACTCCCGTGAGCCATGCAGAAAAGATTTTGCCTTCGTTGAACTTACATTCTAGTTAGAAAGACAAAAAATACATAAATTAACAAAATAGTGAAATAATGTGACTTCAGATAGCCTTGTGGAGACAGTCAAGCAGGGTAGTGGATTATGGGACAGTGGTGCTCTATCACACGAATGGTCAGGGAAGATCTTTCTCAAGAAGTGATGATAAAGTAGTAGCCAAGATTAAAGCTTTCTCCTTTCCTATTGAAAACTAATTCAACCCTCACTGTTCTACCTTCCTTTGCCTAAGAAAAATGGTGTCCTAACTAACCCCACCTCCACTTTATATTGAGCCCATTGTGCTCCAGAATTAGTAGATATTACAGATAGACACATTGAAGTGACATCTTCTCTAGTAGTTTCTTAGTTCCTAAAGGGCTGGTTAAAGACAAATCCTCTCCATATGCTGCAATGTGTTAGAAGAAAATTTTAAATGATAATAGCTAGAGTCCTGTATATGTATAAACAAGACAAAGAGGGTAATATTTTTTTTGTTTAAAAACAACAATGGTTTATTATATATTTTTCTTTGTAAGTGTGAAAAATTTTTTAAAAACTTGTTTTAGGGCATATATGTATAATTCAAGCATTATCTTGAATTATTAAATTTTATTCAATTTTGGATGTTTGTTGATACACAAAATAATAGCACTCAGGAAGAACTACAACCCCCTTTTGTGGATACACAGAAGATTTAGTTGGGAAATCTAAGGCAAAAATATTTGGATCTACTCATTACATTATTTGATCTTATTATAGGGTTTTGTTTTGCTTTGCTTTGTTTTAGTTTTTGTTGCTGTGCTGGGAGTCAAACCCATGGTCTCTTACATACTAGACAGAAGTTCTGTCTTTGAGCTACACATAATACTCAAGCTAGGTGTTACTCAAGCCAACTACAAAAAATAGGTACTAAAAATGATCTCTTTCTCATTACAATTTATAAGTCTAACTACGCTACTCCAAACAGTGAACTGTGAGGACAAGTGCTAGATTTATTTTCTTCATAATCCTTTGTGGTGTGCCTTGATTGGCAGAGCTCAGGCAGGAAAGGCAGCATTGGGTTTTAGAGCTGCATGTGATTTGTTACAAGTACTATGCCGATACACTTCATTCAGCTTTGGTCTACAATCTCCCAACTCTTCACCTGAATTTCAGCATGGGATCTATGATTCTCTTTCAAACACTTGGGGAGCAGTGTCTCAAGGTCCTGATCATGGTTGGACTTCTAGAGAAGACAGTGTTGCTTAGTTATCCAAAGATATAGCTGTATAGCTCAAAGTCTAGAAAAGCGAAAACTCCAACAGTAGTTTAGCAATCTATTCTCAGCTTTGTGGAGTGTTGTCAATGTCAATAGACTTGAAATTCTATTCTTAGGTGTTTAAAGGTCATTTTTTCCATATACTTTTACTTTATATCCTAATCATCAATTCACCATGGTAGAGTGGCCACTCAGTGGCCTACTTTGGATTTTTCTACTGTATGATAGCCAGTAAAGAAGGTCATGTTATCCTGGGACTGGGAGGACCTAACAAGAAGCCAACTAGCCAGACTTTCTGATAAGCCTCACAAGCCTCATGGGCTCCAGGAAGAAAAAGGTCAGCACCTCTCAAGAACTGGCCATGCTGGGACTGGGAATACCCAACAAGAAGCCAACTAGCCAGCCTTTATGGTAAGCTGCACAAGCCACATGAGTTCCAGGAAGAGAAAAGTAAGATGGCGCCTCACATGAGCCTATCGGCATGCAGGTTGAGAATCAACACACTCCCCTAGTAATTGGTGAGTTCAGAGAACACTGAGTTGATAGCAACTAAGTTACGTAAAGCAACTAAATGCTTATATTGTTGGGTTGATTTTGCAGGTCGGGACCAGCAGTCTGAGCATCTCTTGGGAGGATGACAGTATGCAGTATAGCAAATATGGGGGATTTCCTTCTACCTTGTCTTTGAAATCCAATAGTGTTGTTTTGTTTTGTTCTGATTGTTTTGCTTTATTCAATATTGTTTTGATTGGTTTTATTCTGTTTTGTTCTTGGCTTGATTTTGCTATACCTGGTGAATGGACAATTATTGTGAAGATAACAAGATATACCATAACTATTGTTGTTTCCTTAATGTACTGCTTTGAAGTTCTGTACCAGCTTTGCTGCTTTGTTTTGATTGACTTTGTTGTGTTTTACTATGTTGAAAAAAGGCCATGTTATCAACAAAGAAGGAAGAATAATATACTATTAGCCAAGAGTCATGCAAAGCTTCCATGAATTTTGTGCTTGAATTTTTAAAAATTTATTCTTTGCTAATGATTCAGCAGACCATGATAAGTGATCTCTCTGCATTCCTAGCTTCTTATTCCATGCTAGTCCACCACACTAGCTCCTCTTCTTCTTGAGGCCACCATCTCTGTCTTGTCTAGACTAGCCGGGGTGGACATCTGAAGCAGAATGAACAGTGGCCATTTAGCAGTCTACTGGAAGGTGGCCAAGGCATTCTGGGAAGAGGTGCAGCTTTGCTGCATGGAACAGCAGGAACCTATGCAACTCAGTCTGCTCCACATCACAGGCTGCCCTGCTGTGGCCTCCTCCGCATTCACCCACCCTGTACATTCTGTTTCATCTAATCTTTGTTCTTTTGTGAGCAACATGTTAGTTCCGTTGTGAGCAACATTCTAGTTATATGATTTTAAATGTTTTTCTGTCTTTTAAGTTCAGAAATTTCACCAGGATGTACTTCCTTCGTATTTTTTCATCAATTCTATTTCATTAATGTAGTGTGTCCTTTCATATCTAAAAGATCTAAAAGTCTGAAACTCACGCCCTGAAACTTTTATTGGTCTTTCATTACTACTTCTCCGTGATTCCCTTTTTTCTTCTCTTGGGTCAGTGCTCCTTAAATATTAATAGTAGTGGATCAATCTTTCTTCTTACCCAGGATTTCTCTCTTGAAATTTTCTTTCTTACTGCATTTCATCTTCTAAAATATGAATCCAGCCTCAGCAGTAAGTACTGTTTTTGTTTTTACATTCCTCTAATGAATTTTTTAAAACTGAGGAATATTCGGGGGCTGGAGATTTAGCTCAGCGGCATAAGTACCTGCCTTGTAAGCAAGCGGTCGTGAGTTCGATCCCCGGTACCGATAAAAATGAAAAAGACAAAAAACAAAACAAAAAAAAAAAAAAACTGAGGAATATTTATTTTCAGTTCCAAGAAGTTTTGTCTGGTCTTATAATTGTATCCCTTTAAGAGTTTTACAACACCTTTAACCCAGGTCTTCTTCCATTTCCTGCATTAGCTTCCCATCCACCATAGAAAGCCACTGTAGCTTTATAATTTAGTCTTGTCCATAGTGGCTGTCATGTTCACAGTGAATGTCTGGGATCTTTCTCAGCCTTTTCATGCAGGTAGTGTGCTGCATTTCAATACCTCTGTGGATTTCTCTGGTCTTTATATAGAGACAATTAGAGCAGGCATTTTTTGTGAGTGGGCAGCTGGTGCTCGGCTTAGCCACTTAATGTAAGTGCCCAAAGGCCTCTCCATTCACAAGTCCAAGTAGAGGCAGGTTGACAGCAGCCTGATATGGAAACTACTTACCTAAAATGCCTAAGATTATCCAAGAGACAAGAGACCATTAGCAACTGTCATTGCTGCATAGTGTGAAAAGTAGAGACATCTTTTACTTTATTTTTGATGTATTCATCCAAATCTACTGACCCCCCCACCAACTGATATTTATGTCTTTACTTCTACCTGAATCTTCTTTCAAGAACCTGATGTCACACTGTCTATGGAAACTCTTCATGTTTGCAAGATCACTCTTTCCTTGACTTTTTCTAGATGTTTCTATTCTCCAGAACAGGAATGTGAAAGCAGGTCATCATCTTCCCAGAACGTACACCCTTAAGTTTTAAAAGCATTCCTGACTATTAGGAAGATAATACTTCAATAGAAATCATACTATTACTGTGCTGCAAATGACTTCTTTAGTAATAATATTGTTGTGGAATCTTGAGTTAATAAAAAATAGATCAGAATATGATCACACAAATATATAGTTTTTACAGCATTCATTAAATGCTTGCTTCCAATTTAGCAGTCTCATCATTAGATAGCTGAAAACTAGCTAAATTATTGGATAAATTTTATAAGTGATGTTAGCTAATATTTACTACATTTCTATTATGTGTCTGGCACCGAAATAAATATATATCTATAAAATTACTGAATCTCTAAAAACCCTTTGAAACAGGCACTGTTATTGCCAATATACAATATAAAAACCAAAGCCTTGAAAGAACAAGTTACTTACCAAAGTCACACAGCTAATAGGATTTTGATTTCTCTAAATGAATAATGAGTGATTTGAAAACAACTCGTGTCACACTTGTCTGCAGCCTCTACTCTAGGACCCAATAGATAAACAGCTATTAGAAGAAACAATGTTTTATCTCCATTTGAATCCCAGATCACAGTTTTATAGCTGAATGTTTTAAAAATGTTTTAATTATTAATAAAAGCATTAACAGACACTGAAATTTAAAAAGCAAATTCACAAAAAAATAACATGAAACTCTTTACAACAGACCAGACTCAGCCAAGAATCCACAGAGGAATAAAATGTTGCCTATGTCCTTCAAAAACAAATAATCTAAAGGAAAAACATACCCTAGCAATTAAATATGATGGTGTTTACTGGTTTTTAAATGTATATGTAAGGTGGTATGAAGTCACACAGGACAAAAGCATTAATTATCCAGTAGAATCATAAGACTTTTCATCTCATTATTCAACAGTAGAATCATATGTACAAATAAGCACTACTTAGAAATTTTTATTAGAAAGTTTATTACATTAATCTATAAATTTATTTGGTGATATAAACGACAATGTAGACTAATACTGATAAAAGTTCACCGTCTTTGGAAAATAGAGATATTCGACACTGCGAAAGCACTGTTTGCTGTAACCAAATAAATCCTAATGTATTTTGAATTTAAGATATACATATTGTGATTTTGGTCTTATCTCAAAATGAGTCCTAGATTAAATACTGACCTGGATTAAGCAGACCCAGTGTTAGGATAATGCTAAAAGGACTTTAAAAGGGCAACTTGTCATACAACTACAGTTAATAAGCAAGTGTCTGTTCACACCATGTGATTCACATTTCTATAGCTATGTACACTTCCATGACATAAGGCCTGTAAGACCCAAATAGCTCCTAAGTATTTAGTTTAAATATCAAGGGCATATTGCCTAGAGATAGAAGATTCATTATTTTAAAAAGCATCATCTTAAAACTCAATTTAAAAAATTTTTATTTCAGTGTAAGGTGGACTTCTAATATCAACATGAATTATATTGCTCTGACTCTTGAATATTCTGCTGTTTTTATTGCCGTGAAAACTGTTGACAAAACTGTCCTGCTTAGTTGGAACCTTGAAAACAGTATACAACAAAAATACACGAGTCCAAGACTCCAATAATATGAAACAGAGCATTACCAAAGTTTGGTAAGTCACTAACTTTTACAATATTTATGGTTTTTTTATATTTATGGTTTTAAAAAATTTAAATTTACCACTTCTGTGACTTACTGAGGTCAAGATGACCAAATTCTCATCACGTTGTTTGCGTTTCTCACAACACACGCTGTAAAACTGGATTTGGTTGAGACAGATTATACTGTCCTATTATAAAATTATATGGTTGATTTTCCTCAAATTGGTTAAACACATTATACTCTTAACATTACTATGTGCAATAGGGGAGAAACTAATGCCTAACAGTAAATAATTACGGAAGTTCCCTTATAATCATGTGATTAACCACAGATAACATGTTCTTATTAAAGCAAGCATGTGAGTCATCATTTGTGCAACTTTTGATGATTTATGTATAAAAACAAATACTTTTCAATTTTCTGAGACATTAACTTCTAGGAAAGAATAGCAGTTGAGGTCACATTCTTAAGTGAATGGCTGTTGCAAGGTATCCCTAAACTCATTCAGTGCTTTGACTCTTAATGAATAGAGGAGAGAAATTATATAAAAATATCTAAAAGTGTTGCCTTTCCACCAGACCTCCTAAACATAACACTAGTTTTACAATATTTAAAGTGCTACATCTGTTCTGATGCTGAAAAGTTTTGCGTGAACACTGATAAGAATTGTCTCATGTACAAATGTTTCAGGAGTAGCCCTGGGGAGTCCACATCTGTTGTCCAGACTTTCTTATATTACTGTAACCTTTGCACATGAAGTTTTCCTTTCTAAATAAGAGAATGAAAAAGAAACAGATTTTTAAAACTTATCTCCAGAATAATGGGGACACACCAACTTACCATGGAGTTCTGAAGTGATGCTCCTTTTAAAAGAAAGGGGAAATCCTGACTGTGTTTCTTACCTAAAAAAGGATTGTTGTGGCCACTGACCTATTTGAGGCCTCATTTGATGCCCATCCCTACAGTCAAGGGTCAACATAATTACAGGAATAAGTAAATTGTTTTTCATGTGTATTCCAGGGAATTGCCTATTTCTTTGAATCAATTTTAGGGTTTCTTAAAAGAAGCAGTCATCGCAGGAGTTAGTGTGCTAACGATATTTGTTGTGCTATCCATTTGACTGAACAAATCATCATGGGTGAAGTGTATGACATGAAAAAGCTGGATTTCCCAACTCAACTGGCAGAGACAATGCCTGTGGACACTACTGACACGTAGTATCTTAACAAATAACATTGATTCACTCAGAACATCATATGAGATTTTGTGACTTAAAAGATGGAAGACCACGTTTAACTTTTATAATTGCTTCCTTATGCAGCTTTTCAGCCTCTCTGCTTGTCATGTAGATCAAAGAAGGAAAACTTGGCTTTGCTGCACCATCTTGACATTCTTACAATGCAACTACTACTTCGGAGAGAAAACTGTTACTGTGTAAATGTGCACAGGACAAGCATCTGTTCTGGTTTGCTTGGAATAGTGCAGATGTTTGCTCATTGCGAGGTAATTATTAGTAATGTCCTCACTTTAAAAGTGCCCAGCTTGAATGGTCAGTTCTATGATGACCACAATTAGGGTCTCATGAAGATTCAACTTCGGTATTTTCCTTCTTCCTATTTAATCAAGACTGGAGGAACCAAAAGATCAAAAGCCAATTCATTTTGGGATATTAAGAAGCTATTCATCTATGGTTATGGTACTATTTTAGTAATGATTTTTTTTTAAGTTGTATGTTTTCATTTCTTCCCTTTATAAGAAAAAAACCATTTTAATCAAGCAAAAGATGAATGGCAATAATGCAAGAAACTATGAACATACAATAGATTTTCATTAACAATCCAAACACTACAAAACATAGAATATACAACTTAATGAAAATACAAATTAATGAAAAATGGGGTACATGTCATATTAGCAATGCAAAAGACCAGCTTAAGCATAGTTTCTCTAAATCTAATAAAAGGAAAGTGCCCCTTTTCAAATATGCACAAAAATATTTAGATCACTTTTAGGGAAAAATTAATCAGAACTTTCTGCTAGTTCTATATTACAGTACGTATTACTAAAGGTTTACAAAACAGAAGCATCTTTTTACATGTAAAATTTACAACTTTTACCAATCATTACACACTCACTCCATCCAGTCTGTCAAAAATAAAATCGTTTCCTTTTTAGATTCATGAAATAACTATCGATATGTGTCTCAAATGAAAATTATGCATGATGGGGACAGCGATCAGAATGTCATGGATCCAAAGTGGGCCGAGGATCACAGAAAAAGTCCACCCTTGCCCAGTGCATTCGTGTACTGATTTCTGCAATACTTCTACTGCTTCTAAAATGTTTCTAAATGTACATTTTCTCATTCTAAGAAGAACTCTAAATGTTTTCATTTAAATTTGCTATCCATTTCTCATTTTTTTCCCCAGTTTATCCAGCATGGCCACCTGACAGCATATTTCTTTCAGCATGCATGCAATTCCTTCAATTCTGAGTCCAGCTGGAAAAAATTAAAGACTCAACAATATGTTCTTTGTCTTTTATATGTTTAGTGATTCCCGCTTTTATGGTGCAAATTTCTGGTAAGCTGTATAACCCTAGTTGTAGCTCTATGATTCAAATGAGAAAAAAACTTAAGTTGTAATTTTCCAAGCAATAGTACCAATATCCACTGCAGCCCATGTCTCTGAAGGAGTTCTGCAAGTTCATGCTTTTAGCCACCATCTTATGGTAAGTCATGCTCCACGGGTGCAGTGCTAAAACTAACAAATAGGAAATCACTATGCTATCCCCTTCCAAGCCACCTGTGCAAAAAGCACCTACAATCAGCGCCTCCTCAGCTTTGAGCTTACTGATTCAAGTCCAACCACTGCCTACCAAATTGTTTAACATTCACGGAGGAGGCAAACTTGGATGGAGAAGGACTGAACTGCGGTTGTGGAAGGGTTCCAACGGTCACCCTGTAGTCCTTTGGTGTCATTCACTGCTGCTGCTGCTACTACTGTTGCTGCTGCTGCTGCTGCTGCCGCCGCCACTGCCACCATGCTCTTGCTCGGGGGAGGATGAACTGTCCCGGACTGGCAACAGGTCATAATGACAAGGGATGTGACTGTTCTTTGGGAGGTCATATGGATCCTGGGTGAGATGCCCAGCATTGCTGAATATTCCTTGGACGACACTGACTGTAGGTTCTGTGATAATCAGGGACAAATTATCAGCAAGGGAAATTTATTAGAAAGCATATGCCATTTCTTATAAATGTCAAACCCACAAGAAGTACATTTATACAAATATAAGTCAAAAAATATAGGTCAATACTACTTTCATAATAATATAGGACTGACAACCCTATAACTGCTAGACACTAATGCCCTCACACACATGATATTCGAAACAAAAGGACAACCACATGGTTAGGAGGAAACTGTCACATTAAAAAACCCTGGATATGAGTCACTCAAAACTCATTCCCTGAGTTGAATTCCTATCTTGCTATTTATGAGACAGTTTAAAGGGGTTATTGTTACTGATTTAAGATGAAAATAAACTTAGTTCAAGAAGAAAAAATAAATTGATTTCACTATAGTTTCTGTTTTAAAAAGAAATTTTGGCCAAGTGTGGTGGCAAATGCCCACAGTCCAGCATTTGGGAGATTGAGGCAGGAGGATCACCAGGAGTTCGAGGCCCATCTGGGCTACCTAGTGAGACCCTGTCTCAAAAGACCACACAAAAAAAGCCATCTTAATGCTTTAAAGATAACTTGCTGCTTTTTTTCAGTGACACACGTCTATGGCATAAAATTAACATCTAGTCTTTCTCTCTCTCTCTCTCATTCTCTCTCTCTCTGGTACCAGGGATCGAACTCATGACCTCATGCTTACCAGGCAGGCGCTTGTGCTGCTGAGCTAAATCCCCAGCAAACTGTCTCTCTTTTTTTTTTTTTTTTTTTTTTTTTTTTTTTTGTCTTTTTCGTTTTTATTGGTACCAGGGATTGAACTCACGACTGCCTGCTTGCAAGGCAGGCGCTTATGCCGCTGAGCTAAATCCCCAGCCCCAATCTCTTAATTTACAAGTTGTAGAGAAGTTTTCGAAGTAAAAATCATAAATACCAAGATACTGAGAGAGAGTCAATGATACAAAGAAATTAAACAGCCCTCTGCCAAGCTCACAGTGGCTGTGGTATGTTTTCTCTTTTCCCAAATGATATTCACAAAGGACAATCCATATAACTATAATTTTAAACTTAATTCTTACTGATTGGTACCAGATATGCCTCTGAGAATATTATAGCTATATTAGACTAGTTTAAAATAAAATGTTCCGATCCTGCTAAGAGCATTATATTAATATAATAAATATGACCAGGAAATGAAGCCACCTGTTCAATCTACTTAAAGCATTTGTTTCAGTTAACTCAATATATTAGCTAACACGATACATATGCAATTCTGCATGTGTGCTCCAATATTTACCATGGTTACAAAACAAAAGATGGGTGAGCAGGTGGAAGCTAAGAAACATTACTTTAAAATTGCTAAGTGGTATTTTCTCTGAAAAATTCCTTTGGTATCAATTAAAGTGATTATTGTACCTACAGACTAGATCTAAAATACGGGCCACTACAATTGTTCCTACCCCCCATCTGATATCTCTATGATTAGGAGAACTTACCAACTTCATAGACATTCTTGTTAGCTGAAGTTGAGCTATTGATCTCTGCGTATGGGGAATCTCTCCGTGCAGGTGACTTCATCTCTACATAGCCACACTCTGAATTTTTAGGGAGAAGTGCAGGCGGGTCTTTAATAGTGGCATATGGATTTTCTGAGCTGCTGAGGGAGCAGTTACTTGAATTATACTCAGAATTCTTCCCCAGATCTGTGAAGAGATTTGGAAGGCAAAAAAGCAAATGTTTTTTCATGGGCAACATCATTTCTTGGTAATAATTTACTTGGGTAGGTTGCTTCTTTTTCTTTATGACTGAGTCTCTATTACTATATAAATGAAAATAAATCTACACATTTTCTACTTATTTTTGAGCCAATTTTCTGTTGAATTACCCATATACCAAGTAATTTTAGCTCCTCTCTAAGGGAAGTACCAATGGAAACATCATAGATATGATTTAACTTTGATGATCACATTCCAATATAATTAATCACATTCAAATATAATTAATCCCATTCTGTTTCAGTAATAGAAGAGTTACTAACTGAAATCTTTGAATTTTCAGTCTAAAAACAGCAGTTAGGCGCATAAGCCTCAGGAGCCTTAGGAACCTTCAGGAGGGTTCTATTATCATGATGGGAAATACATTTGTGCTGTAATGATTCCCTGTAAAACCTTCACACCCTCAAACTGATTGTTTAAACCCATTCTGAAGAGAGACTTAAGTCGCCACTTAACCATGCTGATCTCTTTTGATTTCCCCTGCATTATGGTTCAGGTCAACAATGTCCCCTGAATGCTCATGTATTCAGAGGTGTAGCACTGACTTTATCGCTGGATTAGTGCACTGTTGAGTTCTGAGCTTAATCTGCTACGAGGTGCCTCCTCGCTAGAGGAAGTATCCCGAGCGCATGCCTTCGATGAGTCTCTCTGACTCTTGCTCTTTCCTTGCTCTGTTTCTTGGAAGTCATGAGTTGATTAATTTTCCTCTCCCACACCCTTCTGCCTTGTTGCTGTTCCTGATCATAGGCAGACGCCTCTGAAACCGTGAGTCCAAGGAAGCCTCCTCTCTGAAGCTGCAGCTGTCAAGTGTCTTGTCTCAGCAAGGAAAAGCTGACCAATACACCACACTCTTTCCTATTTTACATTCCTCTCTCTCTATAAGCTATGAGTCATTTCCTTTGCAAATTGAAACTTTTGTCTCCAAGACTTTTGCCCTAATAGGATCCACCTATGGTCACTCTCTTGAAACCGTCAAATGTGTTTGTGCACTGGTGTAGTAACACCACCCTGACACTTCTGCATGACCACTGCCTGGCCACTTTCGCTTGTTTAGAAAGTTATTCCAGTCTCTGAAATAATTTTTTTAAAAATATCATGATTCCAGTGTACTTATTTCTTTCTCAAATTTATGCCATACCTTTTAAGGATTTTCCCATATAGCTTCTCTCCAGTCCAAAAGCACCTGTGATAAAGGGAAGAAAAACATCCATAAGAATTGAAAGAAGGAGAAAATCTATCCAGCATTCCAAGATTGTGCAGAGAACCTCTAAGGCTTCTGCTTTCAAGCCTTTGTTCCAAACCTCTTGTGCCAAGTCAAGTGAACAGACATGTTTCACCTGATCATTTATAAGGGCTTGGCAACGTTCAGGGTAAAGCTGAGGCACAGAGAAAGATAAATCAGTACACATGTTTCCCGGCTAACCAGTGGAGAAGATTCAGCCAAGACTAGGACTGAGAACTCACTCCCAGGGGCAGCTCTTTCAAAGCTGTTGTGCTTTTTGAATTGCTTTCTCAGTAACTACTATGCAGTGATATGACTGCCTCCACTATCAGCATGCTTTCTAAAAGCAGGAAGCCTCAAAAAATGTTGATTAATGCTTCAGAGACCAATACAAGATCCTGATCATTTTTATTTAGCTTTTGTTTTAACAGTTGACTTTTCCAGGTAAGGAGGTGTTTTTGTATGAACCTACGGAGATAAAACAGTGGCCTTCTCGTTTTAAAATACCTGCCCTTTATTTGGCAGTAATGGTGGTGGGGTGGTCAGAAGAGAAATATTCTGCTTACATTTGGAAAAATGAAGTATGTTGGCCGTGAGAATATGCAATCACTGCCCGGAGATTTAGCTCAGTGGCCTATGTGCCTGCCTGACAAGCATGAGGTTGTGAGTTCGATCCCTGGCACCAAAAACGAATATATAGTGATTTACTGAAGTCAGGAAAGGCACAAACATCTTAAATATAACAAGCCTTTAATCACAAACTCTTAAAAATGTAATATTATAAATTCATTCCTTACAAATTCATATTATTATTACCAAGGAAATTACAGGATATTACCTAGCAAATCAACTAGTGTGTAAGTGCTAAACTGCATTGATTATGCTAAGTAAGAATCAAGGATTCTACTGGAAGTGTCTATGACAAAGAGGAAAAGACAATAGATTAGGAGACAAAGAGTTTACTGCCCATGTGACTTCAGGCCAGATGCTCAACTCTGAGTATCAATGTTCTCTTCTCTAAAAGGGAATACAAACTCTGCCTTCCAGCTTTATACCAATTGTTGTGATCATTACGTGAAGTAGAGCATGTGAAAAAGCTTTGTAACCTTGGAAGCAATCTATAAATGATGGTGTGTAAACTACTGTAACATTTAATGTGTTATACCACCCTCTGCTTCAGCCCCTATGTGAGCATTCCTAGACATCTTCGACAATCTTTGAAAGAAACTTCATCGTCTTACATTAACAGCAGAGAGCACTGACCTGAGATGAGTACTGAAAACATGTGTTTGAGCTGGGTAAGGACATGATACCCTAACTCTCATGGAGACATCCCCTGGGAATAGAGTTAAACCCAGGTTCTGATGGCAGTGTTCTTTGGGGCCACTGAGGAAAGCATGCTTCAGTGGAGAAAGAGTTTGACTCCCCTAAAGCTGGAAAGTGTGTCAGATACCAAACACTGGGGGACAGGAATGCTCTCTGGGGTCTGGTTGTGAAGAGTCTAGCCTGGCTCACATGGGAAGGGAAAGCTACACGGTTCTGCAGGGAGGCAGTATTCATAGTGAAGAATCAGCCTCATCAAAGAGCGATCCGGCCTTTAGGAGGTGATTCCTAAATCGTTGGAATACCTGTCCACTAAAAGTGTTTTTATTTATCTGATTTAGAGTGGAGAGTTTGGATCATGAAGTATCAACTGTTCCTCTGGAGGGGAGAGAATTTGTACTCACTTTTCTACTCAGACATTTCTATTTCTACAGTAAGAGCTGTTCCAGGCCTCAGATGGATGGGCTCTGTCAGGCCAGGGGAGTTTGACACTCATGGTGTCCACAGAAGAAGCAGGCTGGAGAGTCTGGACACCAGCTTTGAGACCTGGCTTTCCTCTGTCTTTTATGAAGTTTTAGACCGGAGAGTTAATCTCTCCATGCTTCTAGTTTATGCAACTTTCGAATAAGACTGGTGGGAGAGTCCACCCAACAGAGTTGGAATTTAGCATATAAAAACACAGAAAGATCAGTTACATTTGAAGTTTTTAAAAATTTTTCTTTCATTTAAAAAAAAATTTAAAAATATTTAATTTTTAAAAATTAGTTTAATAAAATGAATAATTTTTAGTGTATACTTCATGCATTAATTCTGATATATTTATATTATACTATTTATTGTTGGTCTGAAATTCCAATTTAATTGGGCTTTCCACCAAATAAATGTATGTAAAGGGTTGTTATTAATAAGGCGTGCATGCATTAATTATAGCAACAAGTTCCTCCCTGAAATTAAGGGTCACATGCCTGGAAACAGCACCACATACCCGTTGATGCCACCCTGGTGCAAGGATGGACAGCATCCCCACCCTTCTGCAGAAGTTCCATGTGCTAACAACTATTTTCACAATCAAGTAATGACAGTATTTTCTTTTTCACGCTAACTCTCTTTTAAGCGTATGATGGAGTGTGAGATCATAGCTGACTGAATGCAGAAGCAGATACAAGAATCCAGGTATTTTTCTCAAGTCAATGATTTAAAATTTTTCAATAATAGAAATGTAAACCAGTGCTACTTTTCTCACTGACTTTTAAGGGGATTGGAAAACTTTATTTTTATAACATGTTTTTTGTCATTTTGAATGATGCTGCTTTTAAATAATTATTTCAAAATGTTTTCAGTTTTAATTTGTAATATTTGTTAAATATCAATAGATTCTTTGTATTAACAGAATTACTTTGAGTACTTCAATAATTTTTAAGAGCATCAGGAGATCCTGATGCTTAAAAGTTTGAGGATCACATACCTATCCTCTCTTGATACCTGTATTTGCCTCATCTGATGTCAAGTGTGATGCCTGATACTCAAAAAGCACAAGGAAGCACTCAAAAAGCTAAGGCAAGAGGATCGCCATGAATGCATGGCCAGTCTGGACTACATAGCAAGACCCTGATCCAAAAACAAAACAAAACCAAAATAAAAGAAACAAAGAGAAACCCACTGTCTGGCGTCACACTGACAGGGATGAAATGCTAGCCTAACTTTTTACAGGCTACCAGGTCTTGTGCAAGTTATTCAAGCTCTTAATGATTCAGTTTCCCGACTGTCACACAAGAAATGACAAGAATTCTAGTATTCTAATACGAGTATTTAGTCGAGTAGTGTACTTGTGGAAAATTAAGGACATTATTATGTATATGTCTAGAGTGTAAGCTACAGGCAAACAGAGGTATTTGTCTCTTCATCCACTCCTGGCTGGAATTAGGAGCTCAATAAACACTGAACAGAGAAAGCACTTTGAACAGCAGTAAGCCCTAAAGTAACTGTCAGGTGTGATCCTGCTATTTTGTTTTCCTGTACTCATTTGCATTAGACCACAGTGACGCAAGCACCGCTCGGTCCCCATGCAGGTGAGGCCAAGGTACCGGCCGCCCTAGTCACGCCTGGGGGACGCACCAAGCTCGTTGAGGTAGCCACCATGTTTCCAGTCTGCCGGCAGCGTCCCGGTGCAGTCCACCGCTGGGCCGCGCTTCCTAGAGTTCATGTTTTTAAGATTCACAAACAGCTGATTGTTCTTTGACTGTTAAAAACAAAAATGATAAGACATTTAAAATGAGAGTGCAGCGTGGTGCAGCACTCTGTGATCTGTCTGGGGAAAAGCAAGTCCTCAGCTCACAGAGCTGAGCAAGGGGCTGGAGGACATTTCCTGGAGGGCAGAAGGGGTGCAGGTCCTAACTTAGGCCATCGATACTTTTCATGATCTGAATGTCTTCATTTCACTCCGTTTCCTTGTGTCAATTAAACTCTGCTTATGCCTACATCTGTGGAAGTCTAAATTGAAGAACAATATAGAGTCTTGATCTAAGCCTTCTTATCAAACTCTGTATAATCCAGTGTGAGTCCAGGTAACTCAGCAGTTTTCCATAGCAACATGAGAGGGGATAATCTTTACCTTCCTTCCTAACTAGCATGAGAACAAAAGGCTTGGTGGCTACTAACATCTCTGGAGAATACAAATGCTATTTAACAATGAGGCACCATAATTAAAATCTTGATGCATTAACTTAATGACAATGGGATTAAGTTAATTAGCTTTATTTTATTCTAACAGAGAGATGGACTTTCAGGAGCCACTCACAGGAAATTGAAAATATAATTGGGATATGATTGGAAGGGAGAAATGTCTGGGGTTCAGAACACTATGGGGAGGACCTGGGGTACGGCCCCAGCTGGGTCTCTAAGCCTCTGTGTGCCTCAGCTTCCTCATTTGTAAAATGGGAATAATAATCACTCTTGATTGGCATGAAGATTAAATAATTTCATGTTTATAAAGTGATTAGCTTGTAGGCAAGTTTTGACCTAGAAAGAGGCAGTTTCAGACGACTCAATCCAAATAAGTACATATTGTCATTGTTGTTACTGAAATATAAATAGGAAAGAAAATAAGACTTGATCAGAAAAGATGATGATTTTATCTAAGGTTTGTCATGGTTTATGTCGGTGGCCCCCAGGCCTCATGCATTTGCATTATGCATTTGTGATTGGTTCCTTGTCTTGCTTGGATTGATGGTGTCAGTGCTACACCCAGATAGCGGGGAGCCACTACACAGTGTAATGGCAGGAAGAAGGCGTGTCTTGCTCTCTTTTGCCAGTTTCTGCCCTGCTGTTTTGCAGCCGCCATGAGCTGCGGCCCTGCCATGCCACCCTGCCTTGGAGCCAACTGAGTATGGACTGAAACCTCCAAAAACTGTAAGAAATAAACCAACTTGGTGCATCAGGTATTTTGTCTCAGTGACGAGTAAAAAGTAACTAAGACAGGGTTGATGCTTCTATTCATCTTTTATGCTTTTATGAATGTCCTTAGGAGATGTTATTTTAAAACCTCACATAAAGTTAAAAACTTATAAGAGGTATAATGCAAATGGTAAGGATTGTACAGATAGGAAGATTTTCTCACATAGCATGTCCCATTCAGCAGAGGCCAGGGGTTTAGAGTGCTGAAACTCCCTGTCACTCAGCTCTTCCTCCTTACCCCTGAGATGCTGAGATACACACAGAGCATTATGCAATCCCTGTAAGCACAGGGATCAACAGGCAATACATGCAAAACACCTAGGTCAGAGCCTGGCAAACAGTGGCCCTCATCACAGGCTTGCTCTCTGAGACCTGACACATCTCTCTGTACCTTGGCGATGGTCATCCTGTCCCTGTTGTTGATGTGAGGAGATGTGGCACACTGAGCAAGTGTGTGATAGCTGGGATTGGTGAAGTAGTGGCTGCTGGCATTTCCACCATTGCTGTGGGGCAGGGTTTCTGCAGAAAGGAAAGGAAGTGGTTATGACAGCAGGCTCCCCTAAATCCATATGGAAAAGGATATCAAAATAGCAGAACCAATCTTTGGACTACTTCCATATACCAAGCCTGGGCGAAACCCCAGTCCTACGCAGCTCACTCAGCAAAGCTGCCAAAAGCAGCAGGTACCTACCCTCCTCTTCACCTCCGTGAAAATACAAACAGCTACTTCCAGGTTCAGGGTGTCTCAAGAGCTGGGGTGGCACCCTTTGAAGCTACTTCTTTCCTAACTCTCAACAACTTTTGATTTCTTGATGTGATAAGTCTACATGGCAGATATACTTATTTCAATCAGCTACTTAACGCACCTCCCCTCAAAATCATAATAAACATGTAACCAGCCTGAAATGTTTCAGTAATTGCTGAAAAAGTAAAGTTTTTCAGTTTTCAAATTCTTTAGTTTAAGCGTTCACTTCTTCAAATGACTGAATGTGTCACTTACAACCTTCTATTTCTCTTATGGGGGCTTGAGCCAGAAAGGAAGATTGAAAACAGCTTTTTTAAAGGACTTCTTGGTTACTGGTAATATCGAAAAGTAGTTTTTGTATAATTTGGTTTTCCCTTGTTAATGACTTGTGTTGGCCCAGGGAGAGGCAGAGGCCCTGAAGAAGGCACAAAAGACACAGAAGAAGTTTCTGTTTCCCTGGTTGGCTCTCTGATCTTGGGAAACTTTAGAGCCCCTGCTCCCTCTCTCCTCACTCATGTGTAACAAAACTTGGGGATGGCTTGGTGCACAGCGCACTTTAAATTCCCCAGAAACAAAGTAAGCTCACAGATGAGGTCACTTTAAAAACCCTCACAAAAAGTAACAGAGCTAAGAGTGTCCTATGTTAAGATGCAGAGCATCTCTAATAATGTATACCTTTTCTCAACAAGCAGTTCTCTCCAGGAGGACTGACTGTGACAAGGGATGGCAGAGCCAAACACCCAATGTCAAAGAAGCAGGACTCACTCTCCAAGGAGTCAGACCCCTCCAGGACTCCAGGCTGACCTGAAATGGTGTAATCTGCATTGATGACCCTCATGGCAGGGGTGTAGGTGACTGCTGGCATGCTTGATTCCTTGCCCTTCTGCTTGTGTCTATAAATAATGAACAGGGCTAAGAGGAAGAGAATGACAAGGATGAGGATGATGACTCCTGCGATGGCCCCGATCTGGTAGGAATCAGCAGGGAGGGCAGTGCTGGTTCGGCTTAAACTGTTGAGGTTCCCAACGATTATAACGCCAGCTATGGGAAAAGAGAGGTCTGGGTAAGCATGACAGTGCACTGCATAAATGTCTGATCTCTATTTACCAAATGTCTCCTACTGTGATAATGCCTAGGTATTATCGGTTCATGAAATGTTAATCTGGAAGCTTTTGGAAATAGAATAGGAAAGAAAAACAAACATTCCACATTTTCAGATGTCCTAAAGAAAGGCTATTCCCAGAGAAAGGCAGCCCTAAGTCTCAAAAGGACAAGAGCTGAACCCAAGAGTCACAGCTGGAGTTTGCAAGCTTCTCAAAGATTCTAAGTTAAACACTCAGACGCATGACCAACTTGGGATAATTATCTAATTTTATTTTGCTTTGCTTATTATTCAATATTGAGTATATATGGGAATAAATCCTAAAATGTCTAACTGTCTAACTTAATCTCACGTTTATCCTTAATATTTCTAAGAGTGATCATCCTTACTAACAAGATAGCTCCATTATGGATCTAGTCCATTAGCTAATTCCAATCAGCTTTTAACCTCAGAAGACACTGTCTTGTCTAAAGTTATTTTTCATGACATTACTATTTCTCCTGAAAATACCTGATATCACTACACACTCTTACTAATTAAACTAAAAATTTAGCTTTACACGGTTCTTCCATTAAGTGAAGACGCTAAAGGTACAAGAGAAATTAAGCATCTGAACTTTTCCTAGAGCTCTAAAGCTGTGATTTCATCATCTATAAATGAGGAAAATGGTTTTCATATAGCTGCTTTTAGCTCAAATAAATATCCCTGTGACTTTATGGTTTTTAATTCTAGAAGATCTTGTTACAGGACAGTAACAATAAGAGCAATGAAGTTATTGTCATGAGATTACAATGCATTTGTAATAATTACACAATCACAAAATATAACACCTAATTGAAATTGCAACTGAATACAAATAAGAAGCATGTAAAAGTTATTTTATAAAAGGATTTAAATGTAGTAATGTGAGTGCTTACATGGTCCTCAGTTTAAGACGATCCTACCTACAATACTTAGGAATTTTCTTAAGGCTTCTATTGCCCACTTGTTTATTGTCATCCTGGAAGGCAGCTTCACAGCCAGCAGAAAGACTTTCTGGAAACCTCCATCTACCCCACATCAGAAATGTCCAGGGCAGACTATATATGTGACAATATACACAATACTTATGATACACTCCTATCTGAAATATCAAGGTAGGAATCTTGGTAAAATGCTAATCAATGCCTAATGCATGACCCAATCATTCTATTCCTAGACAGTTATCCTAAAGAAATGAAAGTACATGACATACAAAAGTAAGTACACTATTATAGACAACAATTTAATCTGTAGTAGCCAATAATGGGACTTCAAATGTCCCCAACAACTGAATGACTCACTAAATTATGGTGTATCCATAAATGAAATAGTTCTCAGCAACAAAAAGAACTTCTGATTTCTAAAACAACATAGTTCAATTTCACAATAATTATGCTGACTGAACAAACATTGACATAAAGGAATACAGTATTAATCTATTTATATGGAATTCTACAAAATACAAGCTAATCTATTGTGACAAAAAGTAGATTGGAGGGGGGCTAAGACAGTAATGGCTGTAAAAGAGGTGAACAAACTTATAGAGGATGAATATTGTCATAATTATAGTAATGGTTTCATGAGCACATGCACATTTTAGATTTTATCAAATCATATACTTCATGTATATTGCATATTAATTCATATATCAATGAAGCTGAAAAAAATCATAGGCCCAACAGGAAGTTTTGGAATAAATCTATCATCAAAGATGTGACATAATTTATATAATAGCTATATGACTTTGGAAAATTATATAATCTCTCTAAACCTTAGTCTCTTTATCTGTAGGACAGCAACACTAAGGCATCCACCTGCTACTAAATAAGTAAAATAAGGAACCAATTATGCCATAAGGAGTTACAATGAAGACGGCACAAAGTAACACAAATAAAAACACACAACTCATTTAAGGTACACAAGAAGAGGGGTAGTCACTGTACACTAATCATCTCACCTTGATCACATCGTGCGCCCTTCCATCCCGGGCTGCAGTAACAGGTCCCAGTGATGTGGTCACAGGTGGAGTTGTTCAGGCAGTCACATATCTGGCGACAGCCGTAGCCATATGTTCCTGCAGGGCATTCTGGAGAAGGAGATTCAGTCAATGCAGCTTCCCAGTTTTGGGGACCTGGGATGACACTGTTTTTTTCTGTGTGCCCCTGCACATCTGGAGATGAGCACGTGCAGGGGGTTCCTGTTCAGGCAGACTTGTGCAGCCCAGGGTGTCCCTCAGCTTCACAGCATTCCTTGCATCAGGATGGGTCCCTCCAGGCTGCACAGGGCTAGGAACTGTGTGACTTAACACTACAGCTCTTGATACAGTCACACCACTTCACTGATGTGTGCACAGTTTGTTGAGTGCCCAGGGAACAGTGTGGATTAATCACGAAGAGCAGTTTGAGATGACTTCCTCAGGCAAAACTGTGGGCTGGGAGGGAGCTAGACAAGAGTGTCAGCTAGAGATACTTCCTTAACAGCATACATAGTGTACTAGGGCTCGGGGATCCTGCTGATTGGATACATTCTCACTTGGATTAGCTGAGTATGTGAAGAGGAGTAGGTTAAGCTTTGTTTGTTTTCCAGGTAGGAATTTCATTTGCCCTAGAATGGCTCAAACTTTGGATTTGCAAGTTGAATTGTCACAGACTAAAACAGGAGGATTCTTATAAAATGAGAGTTGTACATGAATGTCAAAGAATAGCACTACATATGATGAATCTAAAAATAGTCAGGATAAAATTCTGTTGTTTTTCATAAAATGAGCAGCAGGTGGCAATATGCTATTATTATGAGTTCTCTGACTCACACCAGGTTTCTGTTTACAAATGAACATTGGGAAAAGTCTTCAAAAATACAGACAAATTTGATATTCAGAATAATCATAGAAGCACTTAAGATATTTTTATTGAATAAAATCCTGAGGAGTCATTGGATATTCAAGTGGAAGTCTGGTCAGGGGCTATTCTGCTTCTGCGTCACTGTGTACACACTGATACACACAGTACTTACATGCACAAAGAGGGCCGTGCATGGGATTGTGTGATTCAGTACCTGTTTTATAATTTATTTTTTCTGGTACCAAGGATCAAACTTATGACCTCATGCTTGCCAGGCAGGCACTTATGCCACTGAGCTAAATCCCTGGCCCCTTGCTTTATAATTAAATGAAACAATAAAGCAAAACTGATATTAGAATCTGTCTGTCTTGATCTAATTCCTTGAGACTCTCTCTTGGTGCATTTGCTAGTGAGAAGACTTGCTGAGCTGGGCTAGGGTTTAGCACATAGGACCGAGACCACCTGGCTGCCCAGGAGCTCTGGGGTGCTGTGGGGTGGAGGGTGGGGTGCCTCACTGCCCTGCTCTGCTTGTCCATTTTGCAGGCCACACTGCCCCTGCAGCCACCAATCTTTGCAGCACCCTTGCCAAGGGCACACTCCCGGGTAATGTCTCTGGCCTCCACGGCTTTTTCCATAAGAGAGCCGCACTGGATCACAGCCCTTATTTATTCACTGTGGAAAGTCAGAGAGGAAAGCAGCAAGAAGAAGCTCACGTGAAACATTCATTCAGAGGCTAACCCTGTGAGCAGACAGACACACAGCAGGTGAGTGAAAACGGGAACACAGGGTGGATAATTCCAACAGAGCGCATTCTCTGTGAATTAGACTTAAGAAAAAAGTCTTTAAGGTGATTTTGAGGGTTAGGACTAAAATGACAAGCTGTTATTTGGAAACAGTATAAAAGCTCTGTCTAGAGAAGGTGATCAAAAGGGTGACAATATTTGCATGGACTCGGTCCCACACCAGCAACAGTGCTGACCTGGGTCCTCGGCCCTCTTTCCACCTAATGCTGTGTTCTCTGGATCCCCTCTGCCAAGAAAAATCTGGGCTATTTCTGATCAGCCATGTTCAAAAGAAAGAAAGAGAGAGAGAGAGAGAGAGAGAGAGAGAGAGAGAGAGAGAGACAGACAGACAATACAAGACAAGACAAGACAACTAGAAAAAAACCGGATGGAAAACTTGAATTCTGTCTTCCTTCTGGAATCTCCATCTCCTCCCCCAGTGCTGAGCAGGTAATTACTAATAAGTACCTGGAGAGAAACACCGTCAATAGGGACTCCAGAGAGGCAGATCCTCGAGAGGGAACTCCATCCCTTGTACAGCTGAACAGTGGCTGTAATTCTGCCTTAATAGTTCCAGAAATCCAGGAGAGCTGATTTTAAAGGAACAAAATATTCCCACGTGGCCTGATGCTCCCATACTCACTCTGCTGGCAGTGCCTTCCCATGAAGCCCGTGCGGCAGGTACACTGCCCCGAGATGTGGTCACAGTCGGCTCCGTTCTGACACTGGCATATCAGAGCACAGTCCTTGCCATAAAACCCCAGAGGACATCCTGTGCAAGGAGGGAGGACAGCAGAAGTCAGAGGCTGCAGAAGAAACCAGCTCCAGCCTCCAGCATATTTGTGTTTAAACCTGACGGATACTGAGCCGTTCAACAGCAAAGACAAAAATGCACATCTCAGCTTGTCACACACATGTAGGGTCTCACGAAAAGGTTATAATTTACAAGCAGAAAGGTTGAAGAGTTCTACCAGTGTAACCATCACTGGTACCCCCAAGGCAAGAGCAGTGTCTTCCAATTAAGCAGCACTTGAAACCTGGGAACTCAGGGAATGTTCTTTCACCTTTCATTCAGTGCTAAAATCCTGGACTCAAATTTCCTAGATTGAAATGAGTACTTCATATTAAAATCATCTGTATGCACTTACTTGTAGTAGAGGATACCTCCAACTCTGCTACCAGACTTAACTGCTGTAGCTGTTATTAAGTTAGATAATATCATCACCTCCACCAAAGATGGGTGGCTGAATGCTTACCTCATAAACAACTGTGCTTCTTCGCAGGTGCTTTGAAAAAAGTAGCAAATCTTCATACTGCTGAATGACTTTCAAGCCTTCAAGGCTGAGGACCCTTGCACTAAAGACACACTCAATCTCTGTTGGTTTATAGGGTCTAGCAGCTGTGCTACATGAGAGTTTCATGGCTCGCTGGCATAATAAAGCTTGGATACAGGCTGCTTCAATGGTTGTTCCCAAATAATGCATATGCTTCTTATTTTCCTGTTTTCTTATGATTTTTAAAGAAAATCCACTTTTAACAAGCAAAGTCAGGATGCAGATGCAAGCAAATAATGGCATCCTGAACATCATTTGCTCATTTAGCATTTTCTCTGTGCCAGATTCCTCCTATACATTACTCATTTAATCTTGACAGCAGCCTGGAAATGCAAAGATGGATATTCCCATCTTACAGACAGTGCCCTGACACACACACATACACACACACACACACACACACACACACACACACACACTAGCAAATGGCAGGAAGGCAGAGCTATAACACAAACACAAGGACATGTGTCTCCAGGGCCCGTGTGGTTTCTGTTACATCTTGTTATGTCCATTTAAAAAGGTCCTCTGTCTGAGGTAAACCCTGATTTTAGAATTATAAACAGTATCTTAAAAGTATTTTTTCTAAGGAGTTAAAAAATCTTTCTTGATACACAATCTCTGGAAAATACACCCAGACAGTCTCTTTTCTTGCCAATTCTTCTTTTCAAATCTTAGTCTGAAGCTCCCCATCCCTTGTAGGAAAATTCCAAAAGTCTTGCTCAGACTGTTATTTATTTCTATTACTAGCATTTAATAAGAATTACCTAATTTCTGATCCATCTTTCCTTTTGGTCCTTTGCTAGAGTTTTAAATTATATGTTATTCATAATAACAACATGTTTCTGTCTGGTCTCATCTACTCAATTAAAAGCAAGAAGGGCAAACTTTTCCCCCCAGGAGTGCTCAGCTGTGGAAAAATTCCTACATCATAGCCTATGATGTTAAAAGCCTCATGGGAAAAAACGGTTAGGGATATGAAGTGGGAAATATGGGGTGACAATATGGGATATGAAGTGGGAAAAATAATTAGAGTTATACTTCCCAAGGTGTGGTTCTGGGCTAACATTACCACCATTGGCAGAAAAAACATCTATAGTCTCAGCCCAGACGTACTGAATCAGAGTGCCTTGGGAAGGGAACAGCATTCGGCTTTCACTGTGAATCCTGGTGAAGTTTGGAAACCACTGAACTCCATCTTTGCCAATACTCCACCTTGTTAGGTAGTGAGTCTTACTGTCTGTACTACCCTTCTAATTTTTATTATTAGCAAAGAGAAAGAAATTATACACCATCACTATTGCTGCCGGTTCATTGTTGCTGGACAATCTGGAAACAGAATGCTTGGAAGAAAGTAGGTCTTAACCACTCGTAACAATTTGGATGTCAAGAGAGAGGTCACCGTGTAAATGAAGCAGTCCATGTCAGAGACCCTTGTTCAGCCCATCTGGTACATGCAAAGTGGGAGGCTGTTTCCTCCTGGGGTACCCTATAGTGACCCCCCACGGGTCAGACTTACTCTGAGTGCAGTAGAGCCCTGTCCAGCCCGGAGTGCACTTGCATTCTCCATCATAGGCGCTACAGAAAGCCCCGTTGTGGCAGTTGCAAGTGTGGATGCAGTTTGGGCCCCAGTGAGCAGGTGGGCAGGCTGAAAGCACAATATGCATGAAGAAGTGTATTAGAGTCCCAGGCCAGCACCAGGCAGAGAGAGAGAGAGAGAGAGAGAGAGAGAGAGAGAGAGAGAGAGAGACAGAGACAGAGACAGAACAGAGAGAGAGAGAGATCCATCCATCCACCCCTACACATCCCCTGCAGAGAGAGGTCAGCAAAATACAGCAGGACTAAGAACAAACATGAGGATCACAATTTAGTACAAAAACCCTGAATTCTACATTAAGACCCACAGGGCAATTTAACCCCATAGATGACCCCATCATTACTGACAGACATATTAATTCACAACTGCAGAGTTTGGCAATGGAGCAAGAATTGTCTCATTTACAGATTCAATTTTTTTTTTAATCAGTACTAGGGATCGAACTCACGACTACGTGCTTACAAGGCAGGCGCTTATGCCACTGAGCTAAATCCCCAGGCCCTACAGATTCAACTTTTAAACAAACACACAAATAATACCTCCTTTTTGCCCAACACTGTCCTGGGCACTAGTCACAGGGGGATACCAGAGAACCGGACAAAGTCTAAACTACTTTCTGGTTGCTTATATTCTAGGAGAGGAGGTAAAAAATCTGCTAACCAACTCAAAAAATAATGATGGCAAATGTTACAGAAAAAAACAACTTAGTAGGGAAGGCAAGAATGAAGGATGCTAAGGTAACCTACTCGGGTTAGGCTTCACTTGCTAAAGTATATTAGTCATGACTAGAGAGTTGGAATACGAATCACAGAATGTTTACATTCCCAAAAGGTAAGTGTAGGAACAGGGTTTTAAAAATCACCCTGCCAAGGACATCTGCCCTTTTAAGGGCACCTCTTTAATTTTCAAAGTCACTCTTTTCACTATGAAGGACTTTTCTCTCTTTAGACAGGCTGATAATCAGCCAAGAACTATTAAGAAGGCTGCACAGAGTTCATAAGGGAATCAATGAAGGCAACGATCCCCATGAGAAGGAAAATCTTTTGCCAAATAAACCAACTTCCTCCAGAGTGATTACAGGACAGGCAACACTATTGTCTCCATTCATAGTGGTGTATACTTGTTTATTTCTTCCAGCACACTCCTTCTGCAAATGAGGAAGTGAACAACTTCCAAAATAAAGAGTGCTTTTAAAAGGAACAAAGTGTATCCATCAGCAATGGCAGTAATAGTGGGTCTTTTATTTTTTCTCCTCAAACCTGCCATTTGATTTTGGTACCTACCCTTTGACCTGTCTGTAAGCCAACCTCAATCAGAGATCCCGCAACACAGGTAGAGTTAACAGACTTCTGTTACTTCTGAGGTGATGCCCCCAAAACAGGGAAGTGCACCACAGAATTACATCTACTAATGCTTCTCCAAAGAGCTACACTGCCAAGATCAGTGTGTTCTGTCTCCTTACTCCTCACAAATGAGACAGCTTAAATTGATCAAGCAAAACTAAATATCACGAAAAAAATCTTTGGAAAAATACATCACTCATTGATAAATACTTGCAGATTGATTATAACTATAGAGTTTAATTAAATGGCCAATAAACCACAATGCACAATCAGTACGTAGTCATTCTTTGTGTTCTTATGTGCTCAACAGGTGGGTTCCATATGAACGTTGCCTATTTTCTATGAAAATTTTAATGAACAGATCCAGATTCTCCCTGTACAGCACACAGACTATCCACAGTCAAAGGTATCTTTTTGTGACCAAGGTAATTTTAAAAATCACCTGCACAGTTCCTCAGACACAGTCCCTGTCTGACTCAGAGGCAGAACAAGCACCAGAGGGGAGCAAAGCTGTGACCGGCAGATGGTGGGCTGCATGGTCAGGAGACAGGAGTCTCCTGGGCTCACAGCATTTGAATTCTGTGTCTTAACTCCTCCATAATGAACTTGCCAGATAAACACACAGTGAAGAGGTAGACTTCTAATTACACTTATTTTTGTCTTAAATCAGTGGATAGTGAATCCTTGAAAACTGAGTCAACAAAATGGTAGTTATTTAGGTTCTTTCCAACACATTTGGATTTATCCTTACAGTCACTGCAAAGAACTCTTAACAGAAAGAAAGGAACTTAAAACCTAAAATGCTATTTGTAACTGGTCATAATTTCTTTTTGTGGTTGTACAGATGCTCAAACTTTAATCCTAAGGCCCTGGAAAGCAAAGAATCAATTGTTCAGCTGTTCTGCAACAAGACTTACGCTGGGAGCAGTCACTGCCGATCCAACCTGGGTAGCACTGACAAGATCGATCAATGGGGTTACAGGTGCCGTTGTTGGTGCAAGTACAAATTCCCGCACAGTTTTTCCCAAATCTGCCACTGGGACACACTGTGAATAAGCCACAGATCAGTAACTCACAATCACAAACCAGCTCGCAGAACCCTAGGCCCTAGGCCGGGAAATGACTTCAAAGGTCACTAGTCCAGTTGCCCATTGAGTAACTGCCTCTGTTTAACACCATCCCTCATTCTACATGGGCTCACTTTTATAAATCCTCAAAGCCAAAGACTCTCATTGAGAATAATAAGTCAAGAGACTGCATCGCATTTCTAGAAAGCTGGCTTCCTAGCATCTCACTCAGGGAGTCAAAATCCTTACCCCTATTGAATTTTCATGGGAGAATGTCCCCAAATAAAACTGAAGACCAGCATACCTCAGAGATACAGAGGTCTTGCTGGTACAACAAGCCAGCATTCCCTAAGCTCAGAGTCATTTCAGAAGCTGCACATCTCTCAATCAGCAGCCATCAAGAGCTAAAGGGTGAAGACGTGTGATCTGGAAGCCTAACAACAGACACAGTGAGGCTGTTTCTCTGAAATGCTCATGAGCCTTACCTTCATTGCAGAGGGCGCCGGTGAAGCCAGGTAAGCAGTCACATAAGCCTGTGATGTGGTGACATGGCCCACTGCTGTGAACACACTGTGGGCATGTCTGGCTGCAGCGATGCCCATAAAAACCAGGGGAGCAGACTGAAGATGGAATGGAAATCAACTGTTACCTTTCCGAGATATAACTATCTCATTTTCTATACCAAGCTCTCATTAAAGTTTTGAAGGAAAAAATAAAAACCTTTAAAAAAAGATAGAGAATTTTCCAAGATAAGAAGGACACCAGGAACAAGGATACTCTTTAATAAGGGAAAGAAGCCACTAAAGCCACTCTGAATTCCTCCAGGGCAAGCAGATGTCCTAGCCCTCTTTATTTTCCAATTTAAGGCCCCTGTAATTAACTCAAGGCTGGGCAGAAGCCAGGGCTCAAAGAATTTTTGTTGAGTGCATAGAGGAACACAGAAATTAAAATTCTAACTAGTACTAATCTCAAATAAGTACCCCCAGATTATTTGTTCAACCTTTATTTTTAATAATCATTTTTGGCAATTAAACTCACAGTCAAAATGAGATCTTTCCCTCTCCAAGATGACTCAGATTGATAGCTGAGACTGGAAAGTAAACAAGCAAAATGCTACATACTTAGGTGCTTCCTGAGACTTTATTTGGATTTAAGTACAAGATGACTACACAGCTCTAAGTGGAAAAAGGGAGTAACTTAAAAAATTAACTTGTGTATTTTATAATTAGTCATATATTCTTTTTAAATTGCATTGACTAAAAGATTTAGTGAAATGTTACGGATAATGTCTTAACTCAAGAATTCTATTGACCTATGTCAACAGTCCCCATTTTTAACTTTGCAACTCTTTTCCCCATAGCATTGACTTTAACACTGCTAGCAGAATGTATGATTTGCCTGGAGGTTTGGCTGATGTTGACTTCTGGTAATTGAGGTAAGGCCAATGCCAAATTGCTTAATAAAATATTTACAGGTCAATGGATTTCTAGAACACCATGTGCAAGTCTAAGGAAGAATCATGTCCTGATGACATGCCAACGAGGCAATGAAACAGCAAAGAAACAGCCCAGGAGGTTAAAAACAGTAAAGTTCTTGGGGAAATGCTATTAAGGACAATTTTGCAAAGGACAGGTGATCTATCACACCTTCCTGTAACCTTGGTAGCAAAAGAACATCGCTGTAAACGAAGGGGTGGCATAGAGGTTGTCGTGCTGCCCACATGTGTCAGGAAGGGAAGATGGAACTTATGCTTAAGAGACACTTACTTCTCTGGCACGTGGTGCCTCGGAATCCAGGCGCACATTCACAGATGCCATCATCGGGGGAACACGAAGCTCCATTTTTACAGTAGCAGGGCAGGGAGCAGTTGGGGCCCCAGCGTCCCTCGGCACAAACGCTGTCACAATGCACACCTGAAACGAGGCACACAGGGCAAGGCTGAGGGGAGGCTGTGTGAGGCCTTCTGTGGACGCGCACTGAAAAATGGGACTAAGTTCACAATATTAAACCTGAGTACCATGGGCAATGATGCACCGAGCTGACACCAGGTTTAAAATCCAGATACCATCTCATATACCTCAACACACAATATCATTATAACATTAAAATAATGCCCAGGGCTATTTTTCCACGTGGCTGTGAAGAAGGAATGAAATACCTTTGCTACATTGATTTTATTACTTTAAAGGAGCAATCCAGAAGCCCAAGGGCTCTGTCTAGTGAAGGCAAAATTTATCAAAAAGAGTATTGATTTCCTCTTTCCCCCTACTCTTTGTTCTCACAGAGAAATGAACACAGTGTATAATGCTAAGGCACAGCGGGAGGTTAAGCTATTTTACGTCAAAAAAAACCCTACCCGGAGTAAATCCATACATGAACACGATCGTAGAATATTTTGATGATACACCGCGCAGAACAGAAAGATGTACTAAGATGTCACCAAATTCTTCTTTAAAAATTTAATCTCACACTGAACAGAGACAAGCAACATAACACAACTGGTATTATTTACAGCTGTTATACACACTACTGATTATTACAGAACTGTATACACGTATTTAACATTCATTTTGGAAATAAAGAAACTTTAAAACCAGCCATGAATGAATAAATAAATGTCTAAAAGAACATAAAGAAAAAAATCAAGATTGCAAAAAAATAAAACATAAAACAGGTTTTATTTGAGGTATAAAGGGAATTCGCTAGTAAATCTGTATTTGAAGTATAATGGGGTCTTTTTCACTCAGAATTCTTTACAGCTCAAAGAAATGCTCTTCACATTGAAAGGCAATGAGTTATAATTAGTAGTGAGCTAGTGATTGCTGGCTTTTGACCAAATGAAAACAAGGCAAGAACAAGCACGCACGCATTCCCGAATTCCAGAAGTAGCAGCGAGCTGGTGCCTAGGATGCAGAGCCAGCTGAGGGTGGCACGACAGCTTTTGCTTGTAAGGTGATTAGGAGAAAACCCCAGGCTGGAACCCTAATACTTAATGTGGAAGCAGGGCCCTGACTATAATGTGCTCATGGGTTCACAGCCATTTCTGCTGAACAAGAATCTTTTCTCTTTCCCCACGGTTCTGCTTTTCTCCTTTTGAAAGTGTCCCACGCGGTATAGGCTGCTAAGGAGGCATGAAAACACCCAGACCTCATTGTGTCCAGCTTAAATCAACACTAGACTTGTATTTCAGCTCAAACTGCTGGCTGAAGCAAGAAGACGGGGTCTGTTTATAAAGTTAATTGGGGTGTAAACATTCCCTATAAGACAAAATATGGAATTTGGCCCTACTAAGTGATTTTTGTCTTACGTTCATAAATACATTGTTGTTCTTTTCAAATATCTTTTAGCAAGTTGAGATAGAACTGCAAATTCTGTCCTTTCCCAATGTGACACATGACCCACTCAGTCTTGGCTGGTCATCTTGCCAACACCTGTATTAGGCAGAAGCATCAAACATACTGAGTAGTCGTCTACTCCAAAAGGGAGTGGGGCCCTTAAACTTTATGAATTTAAAGAAAATATCAACAAGAGTAGCCTCCTACAAGCTTTACAGTCAATTCAAATTCAGATGCTAAACACTGATGGGAGCCAGGGCTCCAATTTAACAGCAGCGAAGATGGAAACATGTGCTGCACAGAGATTGGACAATCCTGGGCATTTTGGTCTGCAGCCATTCAAACTAGTCTCCATGAGAACTTTAAAGGTTGGAAGCTAGGTAATTATCTGGTTAACCTGATAGACATCTTGGAAAATAGTTTTAGTCTTGATTTCGGATACTTTTTTTGGTGGAGTGGGATTTTAGAGAGATGAGAGTTAGCCATTTATGGGTATTTAGTTTATCAGTTTCTTGCCAAATGACTGCTTCACATCACACTTAAATTCAGTTAAGATGAATGGAGCACACTCCAGCTCAAAATACACGCCAGTGTTTTATATGATAGGTTATCATGATTTATGTATTGCCTGGTAAGCTCTGAATTACAGCATGTCACAGATCATCCTGGAAAGCTGAATAAAGTGATTCTTTATTTCATATCTGATTCCTCTTCCCTTAAGAGACTTGTCTACCTGATTAGCATAACCATCAGTCATCATCACTTTATCAAGGTAATTCTCATGTAAGTAACAAGCCCCACACTATAGTAAGGAGATTCATTGCAAAAATAAGCTTGTTCTACATGCTTTGCTCCCCATTTCTTTTCCAGTCTCATAGGGAATGCTACAGGTCATTTATCAGCCTTTGGCCATCAATTATATAAGCCTATTTCAGCAAAACCAACCGTACTTTCAAATAACTTGTACTTTAGGAATGCAGAGAAATCTCTCATTTGAATGTAAATTACAAACATTCTATCATCAACCCCCCCTAAGAATTTTAAGCCTTTTTCTTTTGATCACCAGTAAAAATGAGCCATCACATAGCAGATATTAATACCTCAACTACTTGAAGTCAAATATCTGGATGTCTTAGGGGCAAATCCAGGGGAAAGTGAGAAGCTGTCTCCTCCCTCTGCCACATCTTTCTCCCGATGCTGCTCCTCCCTTCAGACCTCTGAGCCCAGCAGCACAAGATAAAACTATTACTGCCAAGGTGAAAATTCTCTGTAGAATGTTAATATTTTAAGAGGGCATACTTTTTAAGAGTCTAAGGAGCAAATATCTAATTGTGACATTTCAGGAAATTAGGTGCATGGCAGGAGTACTGGGTAAGTGCATCTCTAAGTCACACGTAGGTATAAAGCTGCTAATGAATCCTCCATGTAATGACAATCTTGTAGTAAAATTCACCCCAAGATAAACAGTAGTAAGTTTCCTTTTCAAGAATTGGAGGGTTTGGTGTGTGTGTGTGTGTGTATGTGTGTGTGTGTGTGTATTTTATTCCTTAATTATTTCTATTGCTCTCAACACATTTCTTACCAATTTTGCTATATTAAGATATACTTTTGTTTCCTCATTTGTAAAAATACCCACAAGAGAACTGAAGTCAATAAACAGTCAGAGAGTATAGCCAGCTGCTGGCTTACTGATGGGATGTTCTCTAAGAAAGGTAATTCAAGGGTGATGATGGCTGGGTCAGGTCACCATGAGCTCTGTCTGGGGATCACAATCAGGGAGGAGGGTGGATTGTAAAGGAAGGAGGAAGGTTTCATGCTGGTGGAACAGTAGGTGCCAGCCTCAGAGGCTGCATTAGTGAGCTTTTCTTGGACATAATGTCTGATACCCACAATTTAAAAGAGGAAAGATTTAATTTAACCCCTAGTTTGGCTGGCCCCATGGCAGGAATATTATGAGCAAGGTAGAGAAAAATCACTTACTTCATGGTGACCAAGGAGCAGAACAAGGCAAGAGTGTCAGAAAGAAAATGGTGAGGGACTAGATATAAACCCTGAGTCCACAACTCTGTGATCCCTCTAGATAAACCCAGAAGTTTGCCCCACCAATCTCCAGGGTAGATCTGAAAGCCAATTAAAGTTAACGCTGCCCTAACCACCATGGAGGCCCCAAACAGTATGTGCCTTTTTTTTTTAAGAACCACAAAGACTGGGTACAACTGAAACCAGGGGCTGGTAAGAGTATGTGAGATATGTGGGCTGGGTAGCCAGGCAGTGAATTCAGGGAGAAGAGCTGGAACGCCAGGCTGGGGAGAATCTGCCTCTTCTGGTGGTGTTGGGGACCAAATGTACACATTTGCAGAAGGAGTGGGTGTGACTGAATTTCTATTTTATAAGAGGGCAGAAGACAGTTTGAAGAGGTGAGTTTAGATGAAAGAAAAGTCAAGTGGCCATTGGAGTCACCCAGGTGAAAAATAATAAACACGACAAGGCATTCTGTCAACTGAATTGATGACAGCTAGTCTGTAAGGGAAGATGAACTGCAGAGATATACAGCACAAAACACTAAGGGATCCTTATGTTCCTACTTCACCTTTTAGTCACTTTTGAGCTGTTAAAACATGATACCTGACATCCACAGTTGAAAGAAGTATGATTTGGCTCACAGTTTCGGAGGATTCAGTCCATGGTTTCTGGCTCCAAGGTAGAAACATGGCAGTATAGTATGGGGGAGCAAAGATGCTTAGTTCACTGTCAGAGAGCCAAGGACCAGGGGGCAGGCCCAAAGCCCAAAGTCATGCCTCCCTGCCTTGCCCATACGCCAAAATCCCAAGTGAATCCAAACCCAATCGAGCAGATACACCACCTTAATCACCAAAATCACTCCAGGTAACTGATTAATTCTAGCAGCCCAATGAAAGTGATGGAGCCTATGTTTTGCTTCCCACAGTGGCTAGCATATGAATGGTGTTAATACTTGTTGAATGAAACAATAAGCAGAGTTCCTCTCTGTGCATGACCTTCCAGATCACTTTCCAACTGGATGGAGCAATAATGCATTCTTTGCTTCCCCAAATAAATCTTTCTTCAAGCCAGAAAGCCCAATAAATTTATAACATGTGTATATAGAATAATCACTCTGTCTAGGTAATGCCTGCCTTGCTTATTTTTGAGAAGGTATACTTTTAGGAGCTCAGGTCTGCATTTTAAATATTGATTATAAAGCAATAAAATTTTGATCATCTTCAAGAAGTTTCTCTGGAATGTTGAATAAGAACACAAGTTGGAGTTATTTGGAGAAATAGCTTCCTGAAATATTTGGAAGAAGGGGCAAAATGAGAAGAGGGTAGCTTTAAATTTGTAGCAATTTCTGGTTCAATGAGACATTTTTTTTCTGATAAATGCTCTAATGCTGATAAGAAGAGCTGTGAGGAGCTGTTTTTGCCAGGACTGAGGACAAAGAGCTCTTTGATAGCCTTTGCAAGTTGCTAGGCAATGGCTGAATAATCGTGATAAACTTCAGCTAAGCAGTTCTAAAGAAATGTTCGTGCATTTAATTCCTGACTCATTATGCCACTGGC